CGACATTGAGGCATTGCTAAAGGCGCTTGATCGGTACGAAAAGGTGAGAGGGGCCAAGATTAACCGTGTCGTCCGGCTTGCGTTTAGCTGCCTGGAAGGGGGTCGATCTTCCGGGGTCCTTCGGTTGGACGGACGGTCCTGTCCGCATTCTTGGAGTGTGGTTTGGACCCGACCTCCAGCTGGAGAAAAATTGGCCTGAAGTATGAGCAAAGGTCGACGCGGTCGGTCAGACTTGGCGTCGATGGAGGTTGCCCGTAAAGGGCAGGGCGGAGGCGTATGCCACTTGCGTTTTCCCGATTGTCCTTTATCGATTGTCCGTACTTCCTCTCTGTAAAGATCATAATTTTATGGAGGGGACGCAAGCATCAGGTCGACAGAAGAGTCTGTGCACAACGTCCGTGTCATGGGGGGCTGGGGATACCACACTTGGCAAGCCACGAACTCGCCTCGAGGTTGGCTTTCCTACGCTGCGCATTGACAGGAGATTCGATTATGGCGGGTATTGTTAGGGACGCGTTTCCTTTCCTTACTCTCAGACCCCCCTATACCGCGGGTTGACCGCCGTCGTAAATCCCGGGCTCAATCGGACCTCCTTCGCGAGTGTCGGTCCGCCTTGACGATCATTCCTCAGTCCAGTGACCTTTCACGGCCTAGGAGGGTCTTCTATCGTCATTTTGTGGAGGGAGTCGCGAAAGATCCTTTACGTGAGCGGCTCGACTTGGAGGAGGAGGAGCTTTGCTCTTTCTGGTCTTGGCTGATTATCTCAGTAACCCTGAGTTTTCGCTTACCTGGCGATTGGCTCGAAATCGGCTGCCTCTCAATGACAAGGCCTTCATATGGGGCTTGGCGGATTTGCCAGACTGTGAACGGTGTGGACTTGGCTTAGAGGAAACTGCTTCGTACATCTTCTACAATTGTCTCCGGGTCCTCACCTTATGGGACCATGTCGGCGAGTTGACGTACATACGCGTATGACAATATGTCGCCCCCGTATTCTGGGTCCAGCTTGGTTCGTTTGAGCATTGATTTTATATTTTGGGTCAACCTACGTCATATCGGGGTGGTTTCCTGTGGAGCCCTCCCATTGGTTAGGTTAGACAAGACTTGTGTACCTAGTTAATGTAAGTGTTGTTGCTGGCCTGTCCCCGGCTGCATCTACGATTATGATCCAAGTTGAGATTCCCAATATCCCCAGTTTGTTTTGGCCTCCGCTTTTTTTTTATCTCGACTGGGTCAGCTTTTTATTCTCCCATGTCCGTATAATTTTTATCCTTTTTCCACTCCATTAGCGAGAGAGCTTCTTGGTTCTTGAATACAGCGGCCTCTCTTTTTTAAGGGTTGGTCGAGCCCTACTGGCATTAGTTATGTTTAGTTTACTTTGTGTTGATGTTTAGTTTGTTTTGGGGGTTCATTCCCTCCCCTCTTATTCTTTATTATTAGACTTTTATATATAATAATTTATTATCATTAAAATTTTTATGGCATGGGGCGCGTTTTCGTAGCCCCCTCTTGAGAGGATAGCGGTATTGTTGTGTATGGAGGATTGAGTGGTGACGGACGAGTTTTTATGGTGAATGTGCAAATTGTAATGAGTGAATGGGTCGTGAATCAGATTAGCTAGATATAAAATAGTGTCAACCAGCCTCGACCCCCCCTTTTTAGGCCTTGTGCCGCAATTGTATTTTTATATACAATAAATCTCGCGGACGCTTTTACCATAGGCCATCTATATTCTATCATTAAAGCCTTCTCTGTGTAAACAGAAGGACTTTGTATTAGGCCTCCAACTAATTATCATCTAAATATTTTTTCTCACCACAATACACTTTGTCCATTGTTCTTTATTTAAATAATTTACTTCATTCACCTCGATTTAGCTCTGTCTTTGAAACCGGTTAGTTTGCCCGTTTTTCATTTTTACTTTTTTATCATGAGTGGTAATAATAAAACTAACTTTTATCTGTTTATTGCAGTGATAAAATAAACATCTTTAAATATTTTAAGACAAGGTACCCACCTGATTTAATCGGTAGATTGAATTCTTTGTTAAAAGTAAAATGAGAACTACCGCTGCTAACAAATCTTTTCTTCATTTGTGCTTGACTAATAAAGTCTCTCCCCTTTTATTTCCTTTAGAATTAAAAGGGCCAATTTACATCCAGGACAGAAAATTTAGGGAGCGTTTATTACTAATTTTATATCTAAGCTTTCTTTTAGTCTTGCCAAGTTGTATAAAAAATATTATCAATTATGAAGTATTACAATGGTCATACTTTCCTATTTTGATAGGATTCGTTTTGTCCGTTATGCAGCACTTATTCACGAACGCAGTCGTTCTCGACTTACGATTAAACATCAGAATAAGTTGCAACATTTACTTTATAAAAAAATTGGGTGTTCTGCTAATCCTAGTATTGGTCAGAATGTCTTGAATCTGTCTTCATATCATTTGTCCGAGCTTGAACTATCGATCCTCTCGCACGGACTGGATTTTTGTATTCCTCCCTCACATATTAAGCGAGGGGAGATGTATTCGGAGTTTAAGGTTTTGTTCGCGCAGCTAGCTAAACTCTAACCTGAATCTGATTGCAAGGTCACCGACCTCAAGGCAAAGTTAAATAATATGGCAAATTGCTACGCAGGTACACCTGTTTCACATAATGAATCGAAGTGGAACGAGGAGCAATTTTGGGTAATTAAAACACTTCGTAATAATAAATCTTAGTAATTACGAAACTCAACAAAGTTACTGACGTCCTTACTGGATTATGTTAACAAGGTGATGACAATTCTTGGGGATTCCTCTAAATTTGTCCAATTAGGCCCCATAGATAAATTTGATTCTACATTATCTATTGAGGCCAAGTTCCAAAAACATTTGGTTAAGTAGGTAAAAAGTGGAAAATTGCCCACTGATATTTCAAATTTAATTAGACCCTCGGGCTCCATTCGTCCTCGTCTCTATGGCTTACCCAAAACTCGAAGTTGGAACACCATTGAGACCTATTCTATCTATGATTAGGTCTTCTCAACACGGTGTGGCTAAATGGCTTTCCACTATACTACAGCCAGTTTTAGAACAGTATAACTCTGCTTGTATTAAAGATTCATTTGAATTCTCCCATTTTATGCAGCGTTATTCGTCGACGGATAAATTTATGTGTTCATATGATATCGCCAGTTTATTTACTTGCGTTGCTGAGACTATCGATATATGTGCTGATGCTCTGTATCGTAGTCAATTATTTCCGCCTGTTATTCCGGAGGATGTGTTTGTTGAACTGATCAAATTTGCCACGATGTCAGTTGAGTTCAGTTTCGACGGCATCATGTACAGGCAGATTGATGGTGTTTAGATGGGTTCTCCTTTGGGGCCCATCTTAGAAAATATCTTTGTTGGGTTCCAGGAAGAGAGAGAAGAGAGACCAAATATTATATATATATATATATATATATATATATATATATATATATATATATATATATATATATAACAATGAACATAAGAGCCAGGTAAACCTACTTAGGTTTCACCTACGCGGATCGTCAGGATGTGCTTGGATTCTGGTCGATTGTTTTCGCCTGAATTGCATGTTCGGAGTTCTTTCTTTTTTTTATTCCTTATTTTTCCTTGGATATTGGTTTGTTCATTTGCATGCCTAAGGTTTTTCCAGACGAGTATAATTATTTATATTTATATTTATAAGATTATTACTATTGTTATTATATATATATATATATATATATATATATATATATATATATGTATATATATATATATATTTTTGCAGGTAAAATGTATGACAGAGTAGAAAAAGTTTTCGTGTGACGTTTTCGTCCTCTAGGATTAAATCAGAGTAAATTTGTTTTGTTTGTGCGTCTACACCTGCGCACAAACAAGGGATGTTAGGAACTTTTTATATATATATAATCTAGACGATTTCATTTAGACTCTTTTCTTTTTCTTTTCGTTATAAGTTATCCTACATTGTGATAATAGAAGTTCTTCTGGAAATGGTGAATTGCCAGATCCCGGGCACAAATTTACTCGAGATGACATTGCGATCAGTGGACTCTAAACATTTTCGTCGTAGTGAATTGTTTTCTCCTTTGATCAAAGTAACATTTTTTATGTCAAAATTGTGGTCAGTCTCGTTACGGTGGACAACCAGAGCATTCGATGTATTATCTTGTAAGATATCACTTTTGTCTTCATATAATCTTTTATTTAGATTCCTTAAGGTTTCTCCTATGCATATTTGGTGACAATTATTACAGGCGATAGAGTAAATTCCTCTTTCAAGTTTTAGCTTATTGTTTTGTTTTCTATTGACTAAGACTTTTTTGTTTTAGATCTAGCAGTAAAAAATTATGTTGAATTTAGATAAGTTCTTTTCAATTGTAGATGTGATAGAGTTATTTGGTAAAACAATATTTTTTTCATTCACTGGGTACAAAGAAAAAAGGATGAAAGTGACTTTTACATTAATGCACATAAAGGAAAAACGTCGCCCAGAATTTTAAATTCAAATTGTCTTTTTCTGTTGTTGATTTTTCTTTTAACATATGTTCTGAGTATATAATCTAGCCGATTTCATTTAGATGCTTTTTTCTGTTTCTTTGTTTTCCTCACTTTTGTTATTAAGCATTCGACATCTGGAGAATAGAAGATCTGCCAAGAATGGTAAAATGGTGAAACAATGTCAAATTTATTGCCTATAATCCAGTTTCTTATTACGATATAAGCTAATCAAACTGAGCGGCTTTATTATGTGTTTTGTTTTGACAATGAGAATATAAGGTTCAGTTAAAAATCATTTTTTTGTGTTGTTACATTTCCCGGGCCACGCCTAATAACTCTGCTAACACACATACGCAGATGCATAAAGGCAGACATTCCTATTGAGGATCTAACGTGTCACTGTTAAAAAAACTAGTTTGTTACATATACTTTGTGACAAATATGTCATAATGTTTTTAAATCTAACCCTCAATCAAGCTTACGGCCATATCACGTTGAAACACCGGTTCTCGTACGATCACTGACGTTAAGCAACGTCGAGTCTGCTCACTGCCTAGATGGGTGACCGCTTGGAAATACCATGTGCTGTAAGCTTAGGTGTGCGGGTTGTGTAATGGATAATGGCTCGGAATTGGTAATCAGAGAGTCAAGTTCCAATTCTAGTCAGGTTTTATAGTTACTTACGCTTAAATACAGTTGGGAAATGTATGAATCCACTATAAAGATAATAATGATTCGCTGATACAAGTCATTAAGATAATAATGATTCGCTGATACAAGTCATTAAGATAATAATGATTCGCTGGTACAAGTCATACTAATATATGACATGTACCAGCGAATCATTATTATCTTCATAAAATTCTTACAATTTAAAAATATATATTCTGGCTTTAAATAATCTGCAAAATGTTGATAAACCGTGAAATATCAATCAGTCAAAACCATCCACTCCTCACGGTGAAGATTTTACATTGACATTCCCCATAATATTCCACATTTTTTCTGGGGAAGGTTCTAGAAAATTTTCTTTATATCAGTGCTTATTATATACTGCAAAATATCCTTGAATCTTTTATATAATTCAACTATTTTTATCTTTCCAGATGGTCTGTGGTGCAATCGGACCTGGGATGGTATTATGTGTTGGAACGACAGTCCTGCATCAACAGTGATGAAACAGCAATGCCCCTCCTATATTCACGGTTTTGCTAAAAACAGTAAGTAAACTTGTTTGAGTTTTTCATTAGAGGGAATATTTTAGAGTGATAACTCAACTCATTATCTACAAAAGGATCGATAGAGTAAGAGTAGAATTAACTGTGGCATTTTAACTGCCAAGCCTGGAATTCGGAACAATCAATGTAGAAATGAAAGATCGATTTTAACATTCTTGTTTTAATCACGTTTATTAATTTTGATACATTTAAATTCAGTTCGGAATGTTGGACTCTTTCATTTGCTTCCAAATTCAAATCCAGGGACTTCTCTCTTCTGTTGGAGGAACCAAGCGTGGTGAGTACGGCTACTCAACCCGCATGTCCAGGCGGGCTCCTGCGGCTCTTTAACCCAGTTGGCGGTGGAGACCTTAACAGCTTTTGTTTTTTGTGCTACTGCCATTTCACTTACTCTCCTCAATAGACCAGGGTCTGGTGGGCGAGCCGTTTTAGTCATCAACCAGAAGTTATCTCCCTAGACTGGTTGCCACCCAAGGCTATAACACTCCGTCTGTCTTGCTATTTACCCATAGCTAGGAGAAAAGGAGTTGGATTTATATCTTTCTTTGGATTCCTCTGTCTGATTCGCAATTCATTACACCACTATGCTATGATATGCTTATTTAGTAGTTTATTGGTTCAATTTCTTTCATAAATAAGTTGAACTATTTTTAAATTCATACATATGGGAAAATATGCTGCTATATAGCCATCTCTCTGCTCCAAATCTTTATACAGCATTATCTCTTTTTAATACTTAAAACATTTAAATACCGGGTGGAAACATTTTCACTAAGTCTTGGCTATTGTCTGGTTTGAAAGTGCAAATCATCAGTCATATTGCTTTCTTTTCTACCACAAATATTCATGCCATACTTACTAATGTGTAAGTGAAAATCCTTCGTGACGCCTTTCATTCCGTGAATGAACTTTTTCAGACAAATAAAACTTTTATTGATGGAATCAGTTTTATGCATTAGGGTGATATACAGTTTTATCGGTTTTATATATCAGGGGAGATACAACAAACAGCTCAGATTTAAGTTTTAATTTTGAAGTTCAGTGTACCTAGATATTTAACTTAACAAACATTTTAACCTAGTAATAGTTTTATATTATTTGAATGGCAAGCTAAAATATTTTAATTTTGATTCGTCTGTGGCTAGAAAAGTAACAAAGCTACAGATGTACGATTATACACAGAGACAAACACGCACGCACATACACGCGCACACAAATATCACACACACACACACACATATATATATATATATATATATATATATATATATATATATATATATATATATATATATATGTTTGGGAACAGTTTTAAGTTGGATACTCATTCCAATAAACGGTACAAATGAACAAAAATCAAATTTTGCGTTAAAATGCTTTCTTGCATAGATAGATAGATAGAAATTTTATTATAATTATGATTTATTGTTGTAATTTCATTTTGTGCAATTATTTATGTATTAACTTATTTAATGTAAATAATTAAGGATCTTCAGTTAACATGTTTTTTGTGAAAAAACGTATTTATGAACATATGAAAGGTTCACATAACAATTTTTTAATGCATTAATAATACAGAGAAAAATTTCCACCACAGCTTCGATATGAATAATGCTATACTTATTAAAAGAGAAAATAACTTACTTCGAGGACACGTTTTACAAGTGGGCAATCAATTCTTTCCAAAATGTTAAATTACATCCGGGATCTTTTTCAAATATCTCCTTCCTTAAAAGTCATTTATTAAGCCAACATACACTACACGTTTTTTTTTAAAAATTCAAAGAAAAAGTTAAGACCTTTAAATATTTAAAATAAATAAATCGATGCATACATAATTAAACAAAATTAAAATAATAAATAATAATTACGTTAAAAGAAAATAAATATTCATCAACAAAATGTATACACGCACAGACATATATATATATATATATATATATATATATATATATATATATATATATATATATATATATATATATATATATATTTTTCAAATTGTGTATGTATGTGTGTGTGTGATCGGATGTTGTGTAGGCGTTTCCATAGTTTTCATCCGATTTCGATTAATTTTTTTATTTGACAGCTAATTCTTCAGTGCCGGCTTTGAGTCCAAATTGTTGGCGACAATGGCTCTCCACTACTTCCTGTCCATTATAACTCTCAGCAACTTTCTACTATCTGTTCTTGGATATATATATTTCATAAAAACTTTAATAAAAATAAATAGTTTAAATTATTACAATAATATTATTTATTATTATGCAGTTAAATTTATATAATTAATTATATTAATTATAAATTATTATTACTAACATTAGAATTAATATAATTATAAATAATAATTAATTATAATTATAATTAATTATAATTAACATGTGAAGAGAACCAGAAAATGTAATCTATATCTATAATTCTCAAAATGTGTGTGTGTGATCGGATGTTGCTTATGCGTTTCTACAGTTTTCATCCGATTTCGATGAGATTTTTTTTGTTTGACATAATTTTTCAGTGCAGGTTTTTATTCCAAATAAACTGGAAAAAATTACAACCTTGAAGATGAAAAATCGAAATAACTGATTTTTTTTGCATTTTGCGCAATAATCAAAGGCAAAATTTGATATCTGTAAAAAATAGCGTACAATAAATTTAGAGAGTTGAAATCTAATACAAAAGATGCGCAATGAAGAAACGGCCATGTATCATTTGCAGGGATATTCAATGAGTGGCTGTACGAGGCAACAGGCATGCAAAATAACATTTTTTGGAGGCGGGTTGATAATGTCTCAAGCAAGAAAACTTTTGTCAGGGACACCCTATTTTCGACATTTTTTCCCGTGAAACAATAACTCAATTGTAGCGAACCTAAAATAAGTACAGGTGTAAGACATCATTGATGTGCCCCGTTACCTCAACATTTAGCCTGCATACGAGTAAACCCACTCATTCTGCAACTCTATGTGTCTATTTACCAAGTTTTGTTTGTTCATGTTCTCTCAGTTTCATTCGCCTAATACATTTCCTAATATTACTTTTTCACACATTAACCTTCCAATCCTAGTTCATACTGTGTGGGCGTGATTCACACCACCACACGTTGCCTATCGGTTGTTGCTGACCTTGATAATAAGCGCGTGCAGCAACGGGTGTACGTGTGGCCCTGCAACACACCTTGTGTCACGCACATACGCACGCGCATACGCATGGCCTGCAGAACGTGACACCTGTTCGAGTTGCCCATTGATTACACGAAGCCCCTTTACACGTCCAATCAAATGTCACCGTGTCATACCGATTGTCTACGCAGTCCTAAACTCACTGCCATGAGAATAAGGGATAACGAATCGTCTTTAGAAGGTTTAGTCAGTCTGTCTCAAAATGCCTCTCGGAATGCTTCCATCAGAGCCACTGAGTTCAAAGATCAGTGTAGCCATCGGCTTTCCAGAAGAGCATACCTGAACACTTCTGTGCACGACGCTGAATATGATGATCAAAATACTCAATAATTGCAGAGAAACGCCTCTTCAACTGCTGCCGCGCGTGAGGTTGAAACAAGATTGAGAACGCAAAACCAGCCCTTTTCAGGCCCACTCCCCCATCCAAATTGTTAATCCCCATTCGGGGATGTGCCTAAGTTGCACCCAATTTTGTTACTAATATTGATTTTCGGGTGGGCTGATTTTAAACTTAAACAGCTTTAATTGAACGGCAAAAAATCCCAATAGTGAAAAGCCCTGTCGAAGACGGGTTATACTGGTTATATTATATTATACGGGTTTTATATATATATATATATATATATATATATATACAAGATAACAAAACAAATAAAAGAAATAGATAAACTACTAAAGAAATACAGAAATAAATAAAATAAGCAAACTAAAGATCATGACAGTAAATAACCTAAAAGTTTTGCACTAATGAAATCGACTGGAAACAAAAGGACGCTTTTCTCGTTCTCCCATTTTCCTTAATTTCCCAGTAACCTATATATAAAACACGGGAAAAAAGTATTGACCCATAATATGAAGATGTCTTGAAATGTGAAACTGACAGTCACCAGATAGTTTTTTACTGTCAATAGCTACAAACGATCTCTGACATTGTATAACATTTCCCCCATCCTGAAACATATATTGGAGTTGGGGCGTGTGCTTACATGTTGAAATGTTTATTACGTGAATATAATTTTCATATTGTATTTTATTGAATGATCAAAAGAATGCTAATGTTTTCTTAAACTAAACATTTCAAAGTCGAAAGCAAACAAGAAAGAAAAAATATCCATATCGTTAGACATTCCGAAATTTGTCGTGGAACTGTGCCATATTTTAAGCCCCTCTTCCCGCGACCATCGCTATTTCTTTCACTTTAAAATAGTTTAACCCATACGTAAGAATCTTTAATCTTTTCACCAGGTGCTTCTGTTTAGAAGCATTAATTAAAGTATGTTTACTAAAACTTCCATTAGCCTATCTCAGCCCGTGACAAATGGGTTTTAATTACACGGATGAGATAAAATGGAAAAAAAAATGTGAACAATGAAAAGTTAACCGCCGGATTTTGCCTGAATGAATCCAGTTTAAAATACGCTGTTGTATCAAAAACAGAAAAAAGAGGCCGTATTCAGAAGAAATTGAGTCATATTTCTTTAAAAATGTTCAGTTTACGGCCATATCACCTTTAAACACCGGTTCCGTGCGATCACCGAAGTTAAGCAACATCGAGCCTGGTCAGTGACCGGTTGGGAAAATATGGTGCTGGTGGGATAATTGGCGATTGGAGAGACGAATTCCAACCAGTTATGCGCAAATACCCTTGGGAAACCTATGAACGTACCTCTTAACTAGCTATCGCTAAATTAACAGGATTCGTATGAGTAAATCAGTAATAACTACATAAATTTCTCCCAATATAAAACATTTTCTGGCTTTAAATAACTTGCAAAATGTAGATAATCGGTAAAAATCAAATTA